CAGGGCACTTGTGATTGCTACTACCGAGAAGGTTTTCGTGAGAGGCTTCCCTCGAGGGTGGCAAGGCGCTTTCTAGTCTGGCAAGCACCAGATGATGTCTTGAAAGGCCTACTATGACCTCCTGCTGCAGATGAACTCGGGTCAAGTGGCTACGGGCCAAGGTGTAAAGCAGGCATGCTTCAGGTCTCAGAGAACGCAAGGAACTGCATTCGAGGTCGTATAACTTCCAGCTGAATTAACAAGTCCTAACTTGCTAAATCTTCATTTCCACAAAGTTTTCAGCGTTCTGTGGGGACCTGCGGCTCAACAGTCGCCCCGAGGTCAGGGACTACATCATCCTTTGCCACGGGTGGGTGCGCCGCAGTACGACAGTTGCAAGCCAGACTGATGAAGCTGCTCCATTTGGTGATTTCTTTGTTAAGAAAAATTTGCTGCTCTTCCCCCCCCTCTTAGGTGCAGCTCCTCCTCCCACTTCCGTCGTTGATGCTACTGCTACTACTCCGGCTCAACCTGCTTCATCATATTAATGACTGTCCTGTGTGCTTTTCCCTTTCGATCGTATTCTGATGCTCGTGAGCTTGCGTACTGGGAGTCCTTGCAGGTGCCAGTTGAGCAGGAGACCATCGCAGCGCCTCTGTACTGGGCCGGGACCCTACTAAACGTGCCCAGCAGGAGACCAATCATCATTGTCGCAGGGTATGCGTGGAGACCCTTATAACATTCTTGCAAAGCCATGCAGGTGCTGCATGTTTCATGGTTTCCGCTAAACCCTCTAGAGTAGATTCCCTACAAGGTCCCTAGCACATCCTGTTACTTACGAGCTGCACACAGCAACTTACAAAGCGCCAGCCCTAGTCTCTCAGATCGTAAAGGCCGAGGGCACCCGCCTGCCCAGTGAGGCCAGAGCCAATGGAGTCCGGCTTCAGTTCTCCTCTTGGAGAGATCTTTGAACATTATCTGTAAAGGTGTGTGATGGGCCCTACCTGTGAAAGCCGGCCACAAAAGACGGGTCATTGTGCAAGTCGTGTGCTTTGATAATGTGCAAGTAGAGTGGCAGGAATGCAAATAGATTATGTTGGTGCTCCCGCTGATCCTGTATGGATTCTTGGAGCTGGAATGAGAAAATCTTGAGAAGAAGACAAATGCTGGGCATTGTTGGCATCTGAACTCACATGGGAAGGGCTCCTGCAGGTACGCCGCTATGGCAAGCCCTCGGTGACGCAGGCCGAGCGGGCCAGAGTGGAGCGGCCAGTCCAAGCACAGAAATTCCAAGAAATCCTTTTTGAAGAAAGGGAGCAGTGGTTGCAGACATGGCAATTTATCACGGTAGTCGTAAGGATGGTACCGATATCCTGTGAGGTAAAGGTCCTGGCACATGTTCTCCGTGAAGTCCGGACCCCTGCTCCGTGGGTGCTGGAAATTGCAAGTCCGAAACTTTGGACCTTAGGAAGCACCGTTCAGCCTCGTGGCCGTGCGCATCCTAACCGGGCGCCGACATCAGCTGCCCAGCTGTCATGGTTGCTACCCTTGCAAGTCTCATTAAGATTTGCTATTTAGATTGTGACAGCGACCTGTTAAGAGCAAAACCAAATCCCTGCATCTAAGGATTCGGATCCATCTGGCACACGCGGGGCACCCATTGGTGGGCGATGGAAAATACAGTGAAGAGGAGCAGTTCCTGAGTGACAAGGCACCGGAGAGCGGAGGTGTACAATTATTCAGGTTAATGCAAATTCGGGCTTGCTAGGCCTCTTCAAGAGTTGAAGAGGCATCATTTATGGCAGGGATTGGAAGCGCCTGGCCAGGAGTGGTGTTCACAAACTTTCCTGCACAGCCAGGCACTCAGTCATTACGTTGTGACGAAATACCTGGGACACATCAACTATTTCACACTCAGTATGACTTTTAGGAATTGGACTTGTGATTGCTTGCTTGCTTCCGAGGATATCACCTGGGCTTCACGCTGCTTGATGGGAGACTGGCACAGGCCAGGTGTCGATGTGAAACGCAGATGGTAGGAAAAAGCGCTGCCAGTCCATCCAGAAATGGTTCGGGGTGGTTTTGTGCAGGGTTCCGGTGTCATTAAATGAGGGGCACAGTAGAGCATTCAAGGTACATCCATCCCCAGTACTGCAAGAGTGAAGAGTGTTCTTTTCATCTTGCTGGCATCCATGCATAGCCCTGCGACTTCATATTTGAAAGGGACATTTGTCGTGTGGTCAGGGTTTCATGCTCTCATTCAGGTACGCTGCGGCATACAAAAGCATTCTTGAACCTGGATTTGTGAGAGTCTTCTCTGGCCCATGCTCCAGGCAAATGTGCCCCTTCCGTCCGACCTGGCAGCTGCGGCTTGGAAGAAACGACATGCTGAAGTCATGAAGCTTATGTCTCTCATTGCTGCCGCAGGAGATATCGCAGCGCGCGGCCACGAGAATAGAATTAGCACCGATTCTCTCTGATTAGTAGTAGAATCATTATGGGCATTGCTGTTGCTCGTGTATGTCGTGCTTGCGGATTTGACTTGCACTGCCGAGGTCCTTGGAGGACTTCGCCCACGTGGTCCCCAGTCAGCCCCTGGGCTAGAAATGATGCCTCCGGACTCATAGCTGCTCGCAACCGATAATCCTCATGCCGTACCTGTTCGGGTTGTTCTTCTGAGCCTCGTTTGGTTCTGCAAGACGAGACGAAGCCCAGCTGAGGCATCTGCGGCGGCTGCCTGTGTCACGAAGTCAGGGCCTGACTGTAAAGCCATGGGTCTTAGGAGAGGGCTTCTCTTAATTCCTAGCAATCTGAGAATGATTGGTTTACGAAACTTCCGGAGCTACACTGAACTAGAGTTGTGCTTCTCCACTGGGCAGGATTCCAAGCTGGGCCGAATGCGAGGCCGCTTCTTTTTGCAAATACTGGACAAAGCATGTTCCAGCATCAAGATCATGCAACATCATTTAACACAGGTGTGTGCGTGCAGTGGGGGATGAAGCTTCAACGATCTTGAAGTCCGGTTCTTTGACCCGGCTTGCACGTACGAACTTTGTCATGAGGTTTTGAGTGCCACTTCCTGACGTATGCTGCCAAGGCTTCGTGCTCAGATACAAGGGTTAGATGTTCAAGCTTGCCTTCCCCATGAGCACAAGAAATGGCTGAGATTGCGGTTCGTACGTGGGGAACCGCTGCTATTTGCTATTCATGAAGTGGCAGATGGAGCCTAGCCTTCAGGCTTGAAGCCCCTTGGCGTCTATGGCCTTCATCGGCTTCCACTGAAGGATGCGACCGCTGGCTGATGGAGATCAGGGGAGAGGCTTTCAGCTTGCAGGATGTTGGCCTCCGCTGATGGTTGCTATGATCTATTCCTGCAAGCCTTGGCACAGTTAACCTTTTGGCAAAGTCGAATGTTTCAAGCCTCCTACTTAACACCTTTTTAAAGGTAGTCTTCCCCTTTGAAAAGAAAAATTTCCAGGAGTCTAGAGATCACCCGCCATGTCCAGATGGCTTGTCTTATCCCTTGCAACTACACGCGGCTTCATTGGCTCAACATGACAACAGGTGAGATCGAGAGTCCAAGAGTCATGAAGACGTGGGAAAAAGAAGGCTGCGGAGGCACTACCAAGTTGTTGGCAAAGTAATAGCAACAGTAGTATTAGTAAGACTTCAGAGCAGAAGTTCGAGTTGCGGTGCGTCTTTATCTTTTAACAGTTGATTGGAAGAAGCTAGTTCGAGCCTTGCTTGTCTTCTTTGCATGAACCTTTGAGCTTTCACTATCCCCGCCACCTACCGCAAAGCTCAAGACGCGTCGAAACGTGTTTTGGCCAGTATCATTCCCACCATCCCTTTGGTGGTTTGTCATGCTTCCTCTTCGGAACGAGGCATTTGCGATGTGCTGTCGCCGCCAAGTCGAATCACGAGTGCCTAGCCTAGCCTTTGCGTTCAAGTGAGGACGCAGTTCAGTGATGGCATATGTTCGAATTGCAGGCAACTGTTCTTCATGAAATGTCGGGTGCAGCATGTTGCTTGCCTACCAAAATTCAAGATTTGAGCACCCGCCATGTCAAGATGGCCTGTCCCATCCCTGGCAATCACACGTCATTGCTTTGGATGAACACGCGCATGTTTAGACAATTGGCTGGCGACAGGTCGGATCAAAAGTACATGGAGTCTGCCATTGAGAAGTGCAAGGCTGCAAAAACATTGACGAGTTCTTCGCAAAAATGTGAAGCAGCTTCGGATTATTCATTTGCATATGGAAAAAAGGGGAATCATCGAGAAAAGCTGGTCCTAGCCTGGCCTGTCTTGAGCTGTGGCGCGCAATGCAGACGTGGCTCGCACCTTCTCCTGGCGCCCACTCCTCCGCTCTGCCCGAGGCAGGCCTTCAATCGTTTGGTCAGCATCATTCCCATCATGCATTGTCACTGTTAGCCTGATTCTCGGAGGGGAAGGCTTTTGCACCTGCGCAAGCACGCCAGCAAGTCGAGTCCTTGGTGAACAGTCGTGGTTGTCAAGGGGGATGGCTCTAAGTTACGACTCTCTTGGTGTGAGATCGTTTGAAATGTCTTAGTCAAAGCAGTCTTAAGCAGCGAGCCTGCGTACAATGCTGCTTCTTTTGTGATGCCCGAGGTGAAAGGTTTTTGTCGATGGAGGGATGGACGGCCAAGCAGTGGGAAACCAGTCAGACACATGTTGCTCAAACCGCGCTACCGTTGCGGCTCAGCAGAGGAGTTCCTCTTATTAGGGGTCACAATGAAGGCCCACGTGATGTTTGGAATTGAACTGTCCCCCAGCACTTTTCTGCATACACACGTGCGGGACCTGCGGGACGAAACATAATGAAAAGGTACTCAAAATCTGAGCAACCCAACCAGGGAGGCCCAGACGTACTGAGCTTTGCAAACACCCCCGTACCCGCAAGCCCAGCCCTTTGACGCTAGTTGAACTCCGAGCCCCGAAGCCTACGCCCTGCATAACCTCCGCCCAACAAGAAGCTACTCACGCGAGTTGTGCGATTCATGGCAGCTTACAGTTGCTTCGTGCTGCTGATGCTGGTCATGGTTGGCGGCTCTGGCTTCTGTAACTTGGGTTCGGTTGGGATCCTTTCTTAGTTTAGGCGTTAAAGTTTTAGGGTATCGGGTATCTAACCGGTTTCTCTACTAGAGGATCTACGAACGGGGAATTGACACCCAGGTAACACGAACTCATCCCTGCACCCTCCTTGTGAGGCAGCGGCGTTTGCCCAAAGGTAAAGAACCGACTTGGGGAAAGCTAGGCAAGGTCCCAGTTTGGGTTCCGAGTACCCAAGTAAGATTCTTCCTTTAGGTATTGGGAACTGAGGAAGAAGGCTGGTTTTAAACAGTTCGTGGTTCATGCTTGGGACACCCAAGACTGTGATACTTGCGATGCTTGACCCCCTGGCATTTTCAAGTCAGGGAGACAGTAGCCATCTTTATGTCCAGGTTGGTTTTGCCATCGGTCGCAACTCTCCTGGCTTGATTCCGCGAAACCGGAGTCACTTTGTAAAGGATGTGCGGCGTGCCCAGAGGGATTACCTGAAGAACTATGAAGCTGTTTCTGGCCTGGAAACTTCAAAGACCATGGGCTTGCTTTATGAAGGCGGGTCAGCAGCTTGGTCCATTTGATGTCTTAAGGATCGGTTGTACCAGAAATCTACATCTATCAAGATGACACAGGGGGTATATGTGAGGATCTTTATGGGGATGGCGTACCCTAAACCCTAAAGCTGTAGGGTTTAGGGTTTGGGGTTTAGTATCAGGGCACGCAAGGCTGCCGAGTTTGCGTTGCCCACTTCACTTCGTGCCGACAGCGGGAGCGTTCTTGCCTTGAAGTTTTTTGGCCACGATGCCAGTATAGCGGTGGCAAAGGGTGGCAGGATTCAGTGTGTTTTAGAACTGGAGCGCCTGTTTGAGATTCGATACTTTTCGCCAAGCGCCGATTCTGACGACCCCGCCTACACGTGGTTTTCTGCGCTTGAGCTGGTACAGAAGAAGTGCGAGTGCGAAGACGGAATCTGCCCCACTAGCTTCGACCATGGTGTTTTGGTAAATTTCGGTACTCGCCTCGGAGCTCGTTGGCAAGTTAATTTTCCAAAGCTGGTCGAAGAAGTCTTCCCTGTCCGCGAGTGGAGGAATGTAAATCACCATGAAGCCCATGCAATGCTGGGGTATTTTGCTTCGCCATTTCGTTCCGCGTTCATTCTGTCATACGATGGCGGCGCGAATGACGGTGTCTTCAACGCTTTTGTGGCCAGAGGGCTGCATCTGTATCGCATCGCAAGGCAGCCCCTCAACCTAGCTGTTGCTTATCATACACTGGCCAGTTATCTGCCGGAAGTTACAGGCATGAACACCACGCCTGTTGCCTGTAATCGTGTGCTTGAGCTTACTGAAGGTGATTGGATTCCTCTCCGTATCTGGTACGAACACACACAAATGTTATCCTTTGCCGGGAAACTGATGGGTTATTCTGGCTTGGCACAACCCTCACCCGAACTTGGCCCATGGATACAAAAGTATTACGAGCGTTGGGCTCATGGACAGAACGACGTCCCAAGGGCCTTCTTGGAGAAAGTCTGTGCCTGGATCTGGATCCTTCTTGAATTTGCGATTACATATAAATACAGTTTCGAAAATCTTTTCGGCAACTAAAGTGATGAATACACTCATGCTTGCCCAGAACAGAACTGCTAGACTCCACACCACCATCATGTTGAATACATGATTGAGGTGAGTCCACAGCAGGTCAGCGCGCAGCCGCGGCGACGATTCAGTCGGAGTTTGAGCGCTTAGTGACCTCCAAGGTCCATGACTTCTTGACAAGGCTGCAGACAGCAGAGGCGGATGTGGAAGGCACTGCTGCGATCATTCATGTTTCTGGCTACCACTATCATTGTCATTTGTTGCTAGTCAAATCTTTCCTGTGTGATTCATCGTGCAGTTGTTGACTTTAGTCCTGCTTGGGTTGATGAAGTTGGAAGTGTTTTAGCAGCACGTTCCCAGTAGCTCTATCTGCTTGTGGACCATACTGTCAGGCATTGTTCTGACTGGCGGCTGCGCACTGAACGTAGTGGCCAACCAGCTCATCCGGGATCACTTCACAGAAGCTGTATCCATCCAGCCTGACATCAGGAGCACAACCAGGGTTCCGGGCTTGGATTAAAAGTGCCCGCGTCCATGGGTAATATCCACTTGCACCTCGGTGGCTAATTTGCCCCATCAAATTCGTTGGAATCTGGATGCATATGCATATGCTAGAAACCTCGGGCTTCAGGTTGCATAAGCTCCCAGTACCAATGGCCAGGAGGCAGATGTAGACATCCTAAACTTGAGGCACAGAAAATCACTACCCTACCCAACTGGCTCTGGATTCCTTCTGCAATCCCTCCATGCTCCAGAATCTTTCGTGATTGTAAAAGAGGAAGCCGCGGGATGTCTACGTGCCACCTGCACCGAACGACTCTGGCTTGACAGTCGGAGCTGCCCGAGCCTGAGGATCCAGGGACCTTGCTTGCCCAAGGGGTTCAGGGTTTAGGGTTTAGGGTCGTTTGTGCTGTTCTAGTTGTCAGTAGTAACATCGATATTTGAATGGCCCCAGCAGAAAGGGATAGTAAGAGCTGAAGTGGCGCTGCTACTCCTCCTCTGAGCGCCGATGTAAGTGCAAGTGCCAAGTGTCTCCGAGGAATTGTAATTGACTGCCAACGGAGGGCCATGTGACTCAAAGGAGCAGAGCTGTTATCTTGGACCCAGGTTCCAAAAGACCATGCCAGTGAACCACACCAGCAAGCATGAACCTCCCATCCTCTCAGTAGTGAAGTGAATTGTCAAAAACTACGAAATTACTGGATGGGGCGGAAGACGTCTAGGCCAAGGTGAGGTGTCGGGATGCAAGGCCAGGGCGCTGGATGTACAGAGCAAATGCAGCAAGGTCTGGGCCGTGACACCTCCCACTGGGCCCCGGCAGCCTTTGCAATACCTCGGTTTTCGGCTATGGGATCTTGACATCCTGGAGCAGGACACTCGAGAAGCCAACAGGGCGTTTAGAGTTCAGAGCTAAGCATTCTTTCCGGTCTTTTCCGGAAGTAGAGGGTTAGGGGTGCGTAACCTAAGAGGGATCGAGCTGTGACATATCTAGTGATCATTAAACTGAACATTAAGAACATTGTCTTAGCTCTTTACGCGAAGATGCCAATGATTTTGTTTTCGAGATGAGAGGCTCTGTGAATGTTACTCGAGACTATTGGGTGAGCTGTGTCTTGTTGCAAGTCGTCATGCTGGCCATTTCGTGGCATCAGCTTCATGAATCCAAGCCTGGCACGATAACGGCAAAGGAAGGCAACATGGTTGTTGCCTTATCGGCTCTTTCCCTTGTTTAAGAGGGCTCGCTGTTTCTGGTGCCCTCACTTCACGGTTCCGTCATGCAATTTGCCTCCACCAACCGATGCATATCTCCAAGAAATGCATGCTGTTGACTGTGGAGAGCCCATAGTGGAATGAGGTAGGTTTCATCTCTGTATGTGCTGGACCCCTCCTGTTGCAGCAAGCATCAACAGCGTCTTTTGTCTTTGGATTGATGCAGCTGTACACCATTATATCCCAAACTCCAAGGCCAAGGATTGTTTGGAGCGAGAATCTTCCCCAAGAATCTGTGCCAGTTGGGTAGTGATAGACACACGTCAGTGGAAAAAGCCAAGAGATCCTGTCAGACTTGGTCCCAGTATACATTTGGCACATAACACACGCTCCCAACCACAATGATGTCACTTGGTATGAAAGGAAGCATGCAATTCTTGTCGAATGCCTCAGAACCCGTGCTTTTTCGTGGCTCTCTACTGTATAAGCCTACCAACCCCAGTGTTCATTTTATGTTCCATGTTCATTTCCATGTGCTTCTCCATTTCAGGGGTACAAGACCCCTACATAACCCGTATGAAACTCCGATGTTCTCCGTTAAAGCTCTCGGAGGAGGCACGACAAAGGGGAGCTCTTCGGCTCTCGCCACTCAGTGCTGATTAGAAACTTTGTAACATCCTGCTAAAGTCTTAACAATACCACTATCATGGTTCTGTGTCCTGCTTAAAGCCTTGAAGGTTTCTGAGTTACACCGCTGAAAGCCCAGTGGTTCCCTCAGTCCTTGATGTAGCTAAGATATCCTTCAACTTGCAAGGGTAGGCGGGTTCCTGCTTGAGGGTGGGGTACTGGGTTAGAGCTTGACATATTGAAGGACAACCATGCTGTATTGTCTAGGAGTAGCCCTACCCTCAGGGAATTGGGCGGCGTGGTCCACTTGGCTGAGCTACTCGCTGGTGGTCCTGCGTGGCAGGCAACATATGATATGTCAGACACAGACGTAAGGTAATGTGCATTCTCGAGGGATTTCCTTTGTAAAGCCTGTTCTGGATGCGGGGTGTATATGGAGATTTTATCTTTGCCGCCTACTTACTTTCGGCCTAGCCAGTGCAGTGAGCGATCCTGCAGCAGTTCACATTCCCAGAGACGTGGATGCTACCTGAGAGCCCGAGAGGCCTAGACCTTCAAACCAGTAGATGCGGTTGTGATTTCCTTTTCGTGCGGAATTCCTTCTCTGCGCTGGATCGAGAAAGTGGAGTCTGTGAGCCTGATGGAACACCAAAGGCCAAAAGCAGGGTACGCAACGCCTTCCCCACAAACGCAAAAATTCATATCCGTGGCCTTTGGTGTGGAACTGGACATCCAGTCGACAATCCGGCTAGGTTCGGGTATGCTTAGACGGTTGGGGCATCCCCTGTCATGAAAACCTCCAGCACCCATCAGTAAGACTCCGACTTCCATGAAGTCAGGCGGGCTTCAAAAAACGAGCATGCGGAATGTGAAGCTATGTCCTACTAAGCAGTAGGAGGCAATATGTGGACAAATGAAACTTCCATGGGACTTTCCAAGAAGGTTGTGTGCAAATCTATAGCGCCACTTCATCCAATTGGTCCTTGCAGGCCGAGACTGCCCGACGGCCCCGCGAGCAAATTCGCTTCTCGAAGCCCATCATTGCCGTGGTGCGCGGGAGGCTTTGTTCTTAAGTGCCTCCAACCTACTCCCACCTAGTGCACCAAAAGACATGTGTAAGCAACTCGCTGCATTGTAGCCCATAGTAGAACCCCTGAAAAGATTTTAGAATCATTGATCTTAACAAAATCGGCTGATGGGTAGAAGCTAATCTGCCGACGTTCCGCCCAGAGGGCGTATCAAAGCTTCAAAGTCATTCTTCAGGAGCTCCTCCACCAGGATACTTTATTTCGGGACTTGTAGAACAATGGTGGGAGAGTCCTGCAACTAGACCCCTACCTTCCCCAGCCCAGCGGAGCTGGATCAACGCGCATGTTCTTCATAAATTGAAAGTGATTAGCGATGATTAGCGCAAAACTATGCTTATGTTTAGCGGAACCTTTAGAACCCAAAGCCTAACCCCTGCAGTACGGACGGACTCTAAGCAATCCTCCTTTCTCATTTCTACAACTGGACATGGAAAGGCAGGAGTTTGGCCCCCGGGCCTTGGGCCACCGCTCCCTGCTTGCAGTACCCGACTCGGAAGCCATGCGAGACCGAATGTACCTGGGCCTGAAGGATGATTAAAAGGGCTGCTCATTCTTGATTTAAACGTCAAATAGAGGAGACTGCAGCTTTGCTTCAGAGAGGTTGTTGATTATGTTTTTGATGCTTTTGGGAGGATTTGGAGTCTAGATTGGGATTCAGAAGAGGCTTTCCAAAATCCCAAAGAGCTCCTGGAGAAAAAAAGGGAAGTGTTCTGGCTTCAAGGGTCAGCTCCTCAGCAGGCCTAACATACCCAGATAAAATGGGGGGAACGAACCAGCAACAGTTGCCTTGCTGAAGAAGTTCCCCGCGGCTACTGAGGAATCGGCTGAAATTTCGACAGTGGTACAGGCCAGGAGCAGCAAGCATGCATAGAGCAGTCAAGTCCCCCAGGCCTTGGCTGTTGCTTTCACCCATCTGGAATGTTTATCATCATGCTCCACATAGTTGGTGGATGATGTACATGTCCTGTCATGTTGTTACAGTTCTGGCACCCCTCAGCAATATTTACTATTTATCGATATTCTGGACACAGAAAGGGCCCCAATGTTCCACCTGCTGGCGTAGGCCAGTCGCGCCGATGATTGCCGAGGAGGCGCTTGAGGAAGTCTTTGGCCACAAGTATCATGGCATGGCCTTGTGGGCTTCAGGTTGATTATCCACTGTCCACCTCCTGCAACAGTAGAACGACCGACATCTCCCTTCGCACTCATAAGCAGTCTTCATGAATGGAGCTGGTGGAGTGCGTGTTTTCTTCCTTTCGCGTGAGATGAAGTTGGGAATGGGCTTGGGCCTGGGAACTTTCTCTTTCTTGGGGGTTTGGGGTTATCATTCGCCTGTGGTCGCAAGGTAAGGTTACAATTTGATTGGAGCGCGCATTGCACATTCTGCGCTACCATGACTGTAATCATCGCAATGTGCCATCTTGCCCGGGCATCCTGAAGCCCTTATTGATGCGGAGTACGTGGCTCAAAAAACTCTAGGCCAAACGGCAAGGCAAGAACTTGGTCTTGAATATGCTCTACTCCTTTTCTCCTCCAACGAGCGTATGTAGTGAATGGATTGCTTGCAACATTGTTGTGCTAATTCAGGTGCCTCCTCAGACGCTCCCAGCTGCAAGCTGCCTTAAACAGGCTTCAATCCTGGGGTAGCCGTAGCAAGCGCTAAGCTGCTAAGCCCACCTGTGCCCCCCCTAGAAAGAGTCAAAGGGAGTATGCCTTTTGCTAATTCCTCTGAAGCTCCAAGCTTCCAGATGATTTGCCTAAGCCACTTCCCAGGTACACTTCTTCTTACATGGAGTTTGCGCCTAAAGTGCTGGAAGAGGCCCGGGATCTTGAAGAATCCTGAAGCTGTAGCGACGAAGTCTTGCAAGCCGAAAGCTCCGAAGAACCTTGAGCCGGATAAGATTTAAATGTATGATATAGGGGTATTATATATTAGGGTTATATTAGGGTTATATTGAGGTTATATTAGGGTTATATTGGGTTCCCGGCAGAAAGAGAGTGAGGCCTCTATCTTCCCCCTCTTGGAACAGGTTCGTCGTCGCTTCCCAGCACTGGCACACTTCGACGGCACCGCAAGGCCGAGGGGCTCCAGGCTTTCTAAACAAGCTTTCGGAGCCTGTGACACTACAGCTGGAAAAGGTTTTGTGACCAGCTTCTCCGAGCTCTCAACGTCCCTCATCTTGCTGTCTTGCTGTGGGAGCATAAGTCACTTCAATGACATGCAGAGCTCAGAATCCATACAAGCTTCGAATGTCAAATGGTGTTTACCAGCCTGAAGTGGCATTCTGCGTTTACGGGTTTTAAAGCATCATGGAGAAGGCAGTCGAAAATTAAATGGAAACCAGGTTGTTAGGCTAGGGGGCTGGGGAAGATCTGGCGCTACTGGATGTGGATCTGAACCTCTCCCCGGGATCGAGGCATCAGTCGGTCAGCCGCGCTGACGAGCCCTGGGTGCATGCACTGCTGCTTGCTGTTGGGCAGCTTGGCTTCTTCGCAATCGTTCTTGAATGCCCGTGGTCTCGCATCAATTCTAAGATTCGCCATGCGTTCAACTCTGAAGAGCCACAGGAACCTAATTTTATGGATTCTCCAGACTAGCAACTCAACAACTCAGAGAAGAGATCCAGGCCGTGCAGATGACAATTCAACCTGTGCAGGGCGTTTCGCCGTGCAAGTCAGGGTTAAAGGCGTTGGGCTTTGTGTTTTGCTTGCTCACTTCTTAAATCCTGTCAGACCAGCCGACGAGGACCGACCTCTTTTTTTTAGACAATTGCTTAGGTCTTAGGTGAAATCAAGACCCTAGGAAGCCCTTCAAGTTCCATTCTCAGACATGTCCCTGCCCCTACCCAAGAAAATGCAGGAAAATGCTAGAATGGACATGTTCTCCTCTCGCCTAAAACTGAGACGATGGACCGGTCTGGCCGCTCTCATGAACACGAGCTTCCTTGCTTTTCCAGCAAGTTTTTTTTTTGTTGCGATCCTCAGGCTGCAAACAAAAAATTGGAAGCTTCAAACGTCATCTACATGTAGAGTTCGCATGGCAATTTTACAACTGCTATATTGACGTTTTGGGGGTTCAAAAGGTTTTCCGCCCTAGACCCTCGCTGTGATAGAGCACTGAAGTCCCATGCTTTTGAGAATAGCCGCTCAGCAATGATTAGCATGGCAGCGTTAACGCCTGCAGCTTCAACCCTGCTAGAACTGACAATTTGGCCAAAACAAAAATTGTCCAAGCTTTGTCAGCTGAGGCTTCAATTCAAAGGGAAAGCCGATCGTAAATTCCGTGAAAGAGTCCCAGGGCTCAAGACTTCATGAGGGCGGGTGTTTGATATGTGTTGATTGCGGTCAGTGCAGTCATAACTTTTGGACAGAGATTGCAACAAATGCTTTGGTGGAAGGCGTCCGCAGCATCTGGTACTTGAGTGGGTTTGGGTGGTACGTTCAGACTTGGAATCCTAGAGATGAGTAAGGATGTAGCAAGAACATGCTGACGTGCTCGCTTTAGACCTAGGAGCAGAAGAACGGTGGAACTCACCAGCCCCGCCATGTCAAGATGATAAAATCCAATGTAAGACGAAGAGACAAAATGATAAGCATAACCTCGTCAGCTTTGGGCCAATGGGGTTCCTTACGAAGGCACCATGATCTAGGAAACTTTGAACATACATGCTTGCCTAAAATCATGCTATGTATAATCCTGAATGTCTGAGAGTTGCTTTTGAATCATGAGAGCAAGGCGAGAGTTTGCCTTGAGCATTGGTCATTCATGAAGAACAAGCTCCGGTGGCAGCCTCCTTACGCTAATGACTCCTCCTCTTCCTCCTCCTCCTCCTCCTCCTCGTGATCGTCCTCCTCCTCCTCCTCGTGATCGTCCTGGTCCTCATCCTCGTCATCGTCCTGGTCCGCATCCTCCTGCCCGTCCTCGCCCTTTCGTGGTCGTCCTGGTTCTCCTGGCCCCCCTGCTTCTCCCCTGTCCTGGTCCTCCTCAATTTGTTGCCACGACTACTACAATTACACCAGCTATTTTTAACCACTCAACAATGCTTTTTCCGATCCCTGAAGCCTCAACCCCAGGTCCCTTCAGATGTTGGACGAGCTGGCAGATCTAGATTATGCTCCTGGCCTCATTGGATAGCAGGTTATCTTCGAGAGAGCGTGGTGATGACTGAAAAAGAGCAGTCAGGAGTCAGCATGATGGGTTCCAAGCAGCTGTACAGGGGCAAACTCATAGTGTGTTGTTTGTCTCTGTTTGCTCAAGCAGAATGTCAGATTCGCAAAAGCATACCCTAAACGTCAGACCCTGCACCCCGAGGTCTGTGACAGGTTTACAGTTCAAGGCTCTAAGACTGTGCTGCCATCGTGAGCACGTGACGAGGTGCTCATCGATGATTGGCTCTTCCGGGCTCCGTTCTTAAAGGAGCCAGGAAGACTTCCTGATGAGTCAAATTCGGTGCAGGCGAGTCACGTCGGACCGGTCTGAAGCACTATCCGTGCGTGCGTCTGTTAAGAGCTTCTGGCTAGCTGGGAAGCAGCTGCGGAGCGATTGTGCGGTGTATAGTTTCTAGAAAGATTTTATGCGGCCTATACGGTCCATGATTTTGATGTACCAGCATACTGTCTGTCCGCTGGGAGGTCCATTCGATTTTAATTCGTATGGTTATACACAGCGTTCGGAACCTGCGCTGGAGACAGAGTGCTCTACAAAGATTACAGTGCATATCTCCTGCCAGTCCTCCAGACTACTATCCAGAATCATGAAGTTGTGTATCGAGCCAACATTGCAAACCAATAGCTTGCTTCCACCATGTTCAATCGCGTGGTCCGCGGATCTGCATATTGCCCACCATAAAGCTGATGTTGACCCCACCCGAGAAGGCTTTGCTGATGATTTGCCGCGATACTGGGTCTGGGATCTACTGTCAAGCATTGTTTTAAGTGTCAGAAGTGGCCGCCGCTGCTATCCTTAACATTCTGCTTATGCAAAAGATTGCAAGTTTTTTGCAGATGAGTACGATAAGCAACGTGCGATTAATCACAAGAACCATGGGTGCTACTGTGTGCACGTTAAGATGTGCTGGGACTATGAGGACAATGCAGTGGGGTGTCTAGGACAATGTACGGTAGCGGTAGCGGTAAGGATTCAATGAGCATCAAACTCTCAGACCTTGCCGGGGGCAAAAAGTGCGTGGATGGAACCACATCTTCAGCTGTCCATAGGCTCACAACAGAAGCCCTTCTTTGGGTTCCCAGTATTCGCCTGGGTCTAGGACTCACCAACATGATCCACAATTATACCGAGGATCTCGCCCTTAACCCTTGAAGGGCGCTTTACATTCCTCTGTGAGCATCTTTTGCTGCCAAGGTCAAAGCTACCAAAAAGACCAAACACGGCTTCTTGGGGGAGCTGAAGGAGGCTGGAAACAAATGTGTTAATCGTGTGTATGTCTGTATAGATTGTGAAAAGTGTACACGTGAAGCGTAGTACAAGTATATATACATGTATACATACATGCTTTCGTACATGCGTACGTACTAAAGGTATGTATGTAGGCAGGATTAACACGGCACAGCTTGGTCAATAGGAGCTCAAGGTAGAGTTTTCAAATTTGGCGGGTACCTTTCTTCGAAGTTCTGTCCAAGCAATTGCCATGCTTGATTTGCACCTTTTGCACCACCCCTTATGTGAATTAGGAGGATATGTCAGGCCTTCTGCTTACTTGCCGGCTTGGCCGCTCTCAATAACATTGTTGAGCACTTTGAGCTACGCAACTGTAGCGCAACTTCTATCTCCAAACATTAAGGACCATAAACAAGTAATGGCATGCTCTATGTGTGTTGTGGCTCAAGTGGTGGACCCAAGCCGTTGCTTCAGATCAACCTGAAGTACACTTAGACTTCAACCTGAAGCCCTAGACCCTCTGCCCGACCATGTCAGCGTCAAACCATAAACACCCAGCCCCACACCCAAAGCTCCAAGCACTTCGCCCAAGCCCAAAGCCCTGCACCCAAAACCTCACAGCTTTGACCTAAAACCCTTCTCCCTGGTCCAGTTTGCTACCTTTTTAATGTCCGTTTTGGATGGCGCCGAAAGCCTGGAATCCCGATCTGGTGCAAGCCTTGAGGGCCAAGGCCAATCTGGGAAAATGCCACAACAACCACAGGGTCATAGGTGAGGAACATGAGTTCAAATTTTGCTTTATGCCAGCAGTTCGGCGCCATGAGTTTATTGCAATTATGACTGCCTTGCATTGTAGGTACAGGTCACTGTGTTGCATGGGCTTGACAGCATGGAGCCTTGGGTAACCATGAACCCGCCACCTGTTCAACCTTGCTCCATACGAGACATCCTCAACACTTATCTCTGCATTCTGCAGATTTGTTGTGTTTGTGGGAATCCACAACATCCTCAAAGATCGACATCTGGGATAGATTAGCGCGTTGTAGTAGTGGGCATGGGAGTTGTCCTTCGGATTTTAGGTTAGCGTTGCAAGCCATGAAATCTAAAAGCATTGAGTTCCCTTTTGCCAGGTGGCCGAGGAGCAAGCAAAAAACTCGGCATCATGGCACATGTGGCAAAGAGCTGCGGACGCCGTGGAACAAGTCAGGAAAGACTCTTGGCCTCAATGGCTCAAGGCTCCAACCATTTCCTGGATAGTTGCCCTTGCAAGAGCAATATGGAACCTCAGTTGTGATCTGAAAACGTGGGTCCCTCGCTTGCAGGCGTTCTAATCAAGCTTCCCCTCTTCGCATGAGAAGGGTGGACCGCCGCTTCTTGGGTGCCTTTGGAGCCCTGACTTTGGTAGCCAGAGATCGTCCAAATCAGCAAGCTTTGAGATACCTTGACTGAAAGCTTCCACGCGAAGACCACAGTCCTTGGGGTTGAACTTTCTGTTCGTCCATATCAAATGCCAGAGGCGTGCATTTGTAAAAAGAAGTGTGTAAGTCAATGGCCCAGCCATCTGACCTTCCTACTGGCCCTGGAATCCTTATTGCTGAGCTGCTTTCAACTTTCTTCCACTTGCTGAGGACATCAAGATCACAAGAGCAGGAGCCATCCAGAATCTTCCCAAGGAAGGCCCTGAGTTCCGGAAGACGGCCAAAGACTACTGCGAACAGAATCTTGTCAGCCTTCTCAGCTTTGTCTTTGTCCATTTTGAGGGAATTGTTGCAAGCAATGGGTCCCATTGAGAGCAAAACTGTGGACACTGGAGACAGGCAACTTCCCTCTTCAGGCAAAAGCAGGTTTGGGGTGATCGGGCTGCACAAGCTGAATAGATTCTGTGTTACCTGGATCCTGAATTCTGAATCTCAAGCCGGATGTCCCAAACCTGAAACTGGGATGCGGCTCGACATCTCCATGTAGATTGTACTTGGTGATTTCCCAAACCCATTCCTGCGTAGGTCTCCCAGTCAGTGGGAGGCAAACCACGCTTTGGCATTGTGGTATTAAAGGGTCCTCAACTTATTGCCCTTGAAGTACGTGTCAGACTGAGCCAAAGTTTCACACCCTACCTCCTTATGGAGGTCTTAAGCACCATCCCAAGGAAGCTTGACAACATGCAATCCGTGCACACATATCAAAACATTTCCTGCAAAAATCGATACTCCCAACTGTTCTGTGGCCATTTCAGTAACGGTCTACAACTTGAGGCTTATTTGATGCTGGCAGGGGTTCCCTCAATTGTGGTGCTTCAGCGGGCTTGACATACTAAGAGGTCGCGATTTCCTGAGATGTGTCAGGATTATGCGCTCCGGCAGAACACCACAACTGAGAGTGCCGTCAGCAGCATCTTCAGACCAACCTGCCGAGCATCCATACCTCAGAAACATGCGACATCGTGGAGGTGGATATGGGCATGCATCGAAATTGAGAGGGCCACTTGTATTTGGAAAGTGTAGTCCCCCGCTTAGGGCGCCCGCCATTTCGGGCGCGGTTGTGGGCTGCAAATTAACAGGTTCTAGATTGGCCTTCGTAGTGTGGACAAGGAGCCTGACGAAGCGAAATTGTCTAAGTAGTGTTGTGGATGCTTTTGGCGCATTTCTACTGGGCACCGCAGGGATTATTCTGCTCCAAAATGCTTGGGTTTGCATTGGTTGGTTTGTCAACCGAGGCACCTTCTCCTCAGAGGCATGTCAAGAATTCTTTCGTGAGGCTAAGTCTTGCCTCAGGTGGATATGCGATCCTCAGGGTGTTGTGGGATGCGGAGAAGTCGGACAGTTATGCAGGTGGCTTGGTTCTGACCAGACACAGAACGGATCCATCGGATCCCCAATCTTGGCTTTGGGAGCCTGAAATGCCATCGAACTGCCGGCCCTCAGACTCAGTGGCAAAGAGCTCGTTGTCCGAGCTTCCTGCGTAAACTTGTGCTGCAGGGTACACGAAATGCATCTTGCTAATCCTTCAAGATAGAGATCCTGCAGCACCCTGATGTAACCGAAATTACATGCCCCAAACCCTTAGCGCACGAATCCCTGAACTCCAAGGATTCTTGACGAAAGATCAGATCTGCCGACTGGGACAGAAGTATTGCGACGATGTTATGAAGTTGGGTTCTTCTCCAGGAAAGTTTTCTGCTTTGGCTTCGCGTTGTATTGTGGCACCCGTGTTTCAGAAAACAATCGCCAAGCGCAAGACTGCAAACCCTCAACTCATAATCTATACCCCAGCATGCTTAGCACTGCAGCCCTGGGAACCTAGGAAGGACAACCACTGGGAGGGCCGCGACCACGGACATGGCTGAGAATCCAACAAGTCCCTACTCTCCTACCGATTGATTCTCGTGAGTTTTGATTATGGGTGCCAGGCTGAAACTTCTAGGGCTCAGGGATTGATGCATGTTTAAGATGTCCTGGGCATTGTTTTCGAGTTTTGCTCACAAAAAGCCTTACATACGAAGTATCGTAATCTTGGACCTACATCCATTCGGAATGGCATGCTCTAAGACCTCCGAACCTCAAAACCCAACATTTAAGCCTTGCTCCGTCTCTTCAGACCTGCCTGGACCCTCTGAGTAAGGATTGAAAGAGACAAAGCTGGAAAGAGTTGGAACACAAACTTCAGAGGTCCAAAGGATCGCATCAGCTTGACCCAGGCGGGGTGGACTGAATGCCTATACTTATGTCTCATTGATCCATGGGTTAAGGGACCTGAATTTCCTTTGCAATTTTCAAATCAACTCGGCCTAAGCACGTTTAACATGGTTTTGCTTGATGATCTTGCCAACTCAGACATTCACGAATCCATGACACTGCACTTTGGAACTGACCAACGAAGCGACGAATCCAGCACACGCATGCGTATCTTCCAGGCTAACTCCTGCCCCACTAAAGTATGGGTATGTATGGGTTATGAAGACGATTCTACAATCCTACACCCCGGACGGTCAGGAGGGTCATGCGTCAAAATGAAGGGTCAAGGATGTGCTCCTCAGACAGATTCGCACTTGATGCACTTGATTCAGGGTTTCCTAAAACTGCGGGCAAGGGATCCCGCTCTATTCTGGGGCCATAGCCGTTTCCACAAGGAGGGGGGCTTTCACGAGCGCAAAGACAGCAAACAGCCGCTGAGTCAGGCACCCCCTACACAACAGATCCCCTGAAACAACCCCTCTGTCAACCCTTCATGTTGCCAAATCGCGGCAGGAGGGCCGAAACTTCGTACGGCAGATGTTGCAGAAGTTCGGAGATGAAGATGATGGTCTGCCAGATGCCCCACCACCACAGGTGCTGAGATCAGGATCCCACAGGCAACAACAGAAAGAGGAATCATCATGACAGTGGCACTAGTAGCCCAGAATGCTGGGGTATCCGCGCTCGAATGGGAACTGGAAACCATCTAAGTCATAGCTGCAATCATCAAGGAAACAGTTGGCCCAGCACAGGTGATGCGCGCTGTCAAACCGACCCGAAGGTCTCCGGAGGATTTGGCGGACGCTTTGACGACTTCGTTGTTTGTAAGTTTGGCGTTTAAATAATCATGCACCATGGGGACGGAATCACTAATGTTAATTAAGGTTACAAAAGACTGACAGTTGAATTTTGGAGCCGCCGGAAAAAGCAGCTGAGGACTTGCAAAGCTGGGCTGACACTGCATACGTTGGGGCAGAGAAGGAGTTCCAGGCAGCTTTGGGGATGCTGATAGGAGGGTGGGCCATTTTGCGGGAAGTGCGCATCGTGCAATTTTGGGATGTTGCCCGAGTCATTGTCGTTTAAGTTTCAGGGGGAGCTGGCTGAACATATGGGAGGCCTCAAGATTGCGCATTCGCAGTACACAGTTTACAAACCTTGGCCTCCTTGATGAAGTCGCTCAACCCAGAACAGACCGATCCCTGGACCCTAAACGCCTCAAACCCCAAAGCCTAAACATTTACCTTGTTAAGCCTGTGATCCAAGGGTCTCAAGTTCCACCATTTGGGTTGTACTTGAATGAATGCCTGAAATCAGGGGTGCTCACGGGGTGTCTGACCAACGGGTCTTAAGCAACTCTGAACATAATCAGCGTATTGGCTGGGCCATTCAGTGGATGGTCAAGTCCAGGGGTTAAGGGGTTGGAGTTTGCTTGCTTCAGGTGTCCAAAGAGCGCCGGAAGCTCTTGCATAACCAGATTGACGTGCTGAACGCAATGGGGCGAGGCTATAGATTGCTCCACAATTCCAGAGGGGATGGAAGGCAGCGCACGCTGATTGTGAAAAAGGTCGCGCAGAATGAAACTGGTGATGCAGCAACCACCATGAGTCCAGGGCTGGACCTGAGTCGAATACTGAGCCAATCGAATGAACTCCAAGATGAACACTCCATGGATTCTGCTTCTCCTGGCAGAACGTCTTCCGTGGCAGCCCCCACTGGTCCAGGCCACAGGTGGGAGCTTCCCAAAATCACCTTTGCAAACTCCTTGTGAGGGACCCCTACCCAATGATCTTCGAGGTTATCTGAGAAGCCCCCAGGTTGGGTGGTCAGCAATCTGCTCAGGGAAAGCGAGAAGCGCAGGCACTGGCCGCTGAGCGACGAATGTCTGTGATAGCACGTCCAGCCAAGAGGCCCAGACTGAGCCTGCCAGCAACAGCATCCACAAAGCAAGGTCCGCAGGGGATCATATGGTGAAAATACGTCAGATTTCTTTATTGTAGCTTGATATCACTCTGATTTTGGAGAGTCTTCTGGAGATCTATTGGAGCGGGTAGGCGATGACTCCGGGATCCGATAGAGATCATGGTTCGTCATACGAGAAAGCAAAGAGCTCCTTGGCCAATTCCCACACAGCAAATCCCGGAATCACTCTTTGAAGCGTCCGGTCCTCGCGCAAGGGGGCCCCAACAAAGTTAGCAGGGGAGCATAGTGAGGTCACCTGGATCATACAGGGATCAAGTTGCAAAAATAGTCGAGGGTGCAATGATTTGAAGTGCGTGTTGCCAGGAAGCACAGCGGCTTCCACACCCGCAGTTCCTGAAGACAAAGAGAAAGAAGAGTCCAGCAGCTCTTCATCCAGCTCTTCAGAGTCTTTGGGGCTGCTGTGGAAATCTTTGCATCTTAGAAATGTGGGAGGGGTTGTTCTATAGACTAGCTACCCGTTGCATGCAGCCTCGAAGGTCTGGAGACAGTGAAGAGATGGATGAGGACATGCGGAAAGCAATTGAGGCGTCACTTCAGGATGTTGCCCAGAGCCCGCAACAAGATCAAGATGGCCACCTGGCTGTGATTGGGTGAAGCTTTGTGCTGCAAGTACAGGTGGTACCATCCCAGAAGGATCCAGATGCTAACCGCCACACGTCTTCCTAGAAGAAAAGATTCCCCTTGCCTCTTCTGCAAACCCAATGCTGCTAATGTGGAGCAGGACCTCCCCAACCTGAGGTAAAGATGAGCGAGATCTCCAAGAAGCGCTGCGACTGTCCTTAGAAACAACTCCTCCTTCCCAAAATGCTCCGTCTCGAGCGCAGTTTTCAAGGCTGTCAGCTTCCAGCAGTTCCTTGGTGGCAGCTGGGAGCAGTAAGGGTAGTCTCCTGTACAGTTTTGAGAAGGTCGCATCCTTGCTTTAAAGCAGCCGGTGCTGATTTGGAGTTCCTGCGCCTACTGGCCTGGTTGCGGGTAGCTACAACTTGTTGACACACGCGTTCAAGAGTAGACTTAACCCCAGATGCAACTAGACAAAGTATTTCCAGTGTGTCTGTGCATGTTTGGATCCTACCAAGGAAGTGCTTCCCTTCTCCTTGTATACTTGAATGTGGTTAAGGTAAAGTTTGTGGGATGTGGACTTTCTGAATTGACGAGAACACGCGTTCATAGTTCGAAGCTTAACGGGATCAACGAGGCCTCAACTGTCAAACCTCAGGAACCCGCTTCATCAACGTCACAGATTTCCTCTCGCAACTTTTGAGAAGCCCATGTGGTTTAGCTAGGGTCCATCTGCACGTGTTCTGAAACCACAAAAGCGCCCTGGAAGTGTTGTTTAATAGTATTTGCAAGGAGATTGTTTGATGGCGAAAATTTCAGAAGCGGTTGCGATTCACTCCGGTCCCCTCATCCAGCATCCGTGAGAGAAAAAAAAAGGCGTTCGCAAGAAAACAAAGAAACTGGCCGTGTACAAAGACGTTCCGGGGAACCCAAATCATGGTTCCCGAAGTACCTGAAAGTGAGGTGCTATGCCGCTGGATCTGGATGATGACTCACAACCAGCAGATGATGCCATGGTAGATGACATGGTTCCTGGGCTGTGATATGGACATTCCGATTCCAATTCAAACTGAGAAACTATGTTGTCCTTCGCTTCTGTCTTTGAACCCTGCCCCATTTCCTTACGGGCCTGCGTTTGAGCTCAGGTTCTGTCAGTCGATTTGCACGAGCGGCGGAGTGACAAGAGCCCTAGAGACATTTACGAGGAGCTGCACACCATGTCAGGGTTCGCAGGATTGACTCTGTTGGTTGCGGATGTTTAGCATGGATCTCGTGCTTGCCTTCTTGGGCAGCGAGGATACAGTCAAGGAAAACGCATTCCAATTATTTCAGTTTTGAGAGTCGCCACCACACTGTCATGGGACAGCGCAGGAGCAGGATCCTAACAGTAGCTTCAGAGGATCCCCAAGCCCTGACTGGCTCGTGCCACAAGGAGCTTCAAAAAAGACTGCAAGGCACGGCTGACGTGCGCCACGAAAAGCTGAAGATGGGTTCCTTGGCTCAGCTCCTTTTGGCATTGAGACTGGCCGTGTCATTCCAGGACGCTGCGAACAAATTCCTGTCAAGAATTGATGTGTGGCACCAGCGTGGATTGTCAGAGTACCTTTACTAAACAGCTTGATTGTTTGTATAGCTTGGAGTACGATTAGGATTGAAGGCTTCTTACTTTCCCTATCAAGTGCCCTCGCACGATCTCCAAGCACTGCTGAGGTGATTACATGTGGACGCGCGCTGCAGAGGCTTCAGAATGATTGCCAAATCAAGTTGTCCGTGTTCATGAATACGCAAGCCCAACACATCACGAAGAAACATCTTTGTTTGTGGACCTCATGACAAACATTGAGCCTTGTCATAAGACTGTCGTGATAGTAACTGTGCTTGCAGTAACAATTTGTAGTGGGATGGACGATGCATAAGAAAGGTGGTCCAGCTGTCATATGTACATGGAAAATCGTCTGAAAGACTACTCAGGCGTTTGGTGCCTGCATCGAACGCAAAACCATGCGAGACTTGATTGGCCGATCTGCCAAAGGAGATCACGTCAGGCAGAGGGTGGACTCTCCAAGTATTCTAGGGTTCGGGGTTTTGGTGAATTCAGGATTCGGGGTTTGGGCGTATTTAATTTAGCATTAAGACAACTGCAAGTGCTTTGAAGATTTGGATTCTCTTGTGCAACACCCCATAGTATGCTGCAGTACATGTGCTTTGAGAATGGATTTGACGTGTGAGTTCCATTCAGCGTCCAAAGCATCACCTCCTAGCCTCAAACCCCTCCAGACCATCAAACCCTTTCACCCTGACTCTGAACACCGAAAGACCTTTGCCCCCCTTTGAAAGGGTAGATCTTTTTGTGGTGTGGGTTCAGGCAACTTCGACGACTGAGCTCCAGCCAGCTTCCAGGTGCCTTGCTGTTGGAAGCTTGGTTTTGTTGGAGACTCGCTATGATTCCGGGGTTAAGGGTTCAGGGCTTGCTGTTTTGGATTGGACTTGGGTTAGGCTTTGTGGGAGTTCCGGTTAGGGTTTTTTGCTGGACTCTAGGGTTCTGCAAAGAGGACGACTCAGGGGTTCAGGGTCCTTTGAAGTTTAGAGGTCACGGCTTTGCGAAGGGTTGGGGGGGGGCTTTGGGGATTGAAAGTTTCGGGCTTAGGGGCAAAGGTTTGCGGAATGCGCAGGGCGTCCCTTTGAAAATTTCCTACGTGTTGCAAGTTCTTTACAGATAACCCCCATCCTCAAGGTTGGAATTGACCTTTGATGAAGATTCTTGAAAAATTTCGAAGCGCGCCAAGGAAGGTGACATCTCTACGGCAGATCATCAAGTGGCCTATGGTGCAGATCCAATCTCCCGTGGCCATTCAGATAGTTCCATGCGAGAAGCCTTGGATGTGCTCTGCTTTCTGGCAAGGCGCAGGGGAGGGGTGGAGAAGCGCTTACACGCATGGGACACGAGATGCACATGACTCAATGTCGAATGGGGACCTATACCAAGAAGTCGCTGCCACAGAATAACTCGTGCCAAGAGGATGCCCAGATAACACCGAAGTATCTTAAGCTAGCAATTAGCCAAGATATCTGCAAACCAGCTGCCGCTGATCCTACTTCAAGGTGACCCTTAAAAGAGGATGCCTAAGGATGCTTCGGTGGATAATCTCATGATGAGAAGAGGGTAAGCACCCAAGACGGGGCCCTTTCCCTGCCCTTGCTCGAGAACCTAAAGCTCCTGGAGGCTGGTGCTGCAAAAGCGCTGCTTCGTGTTGTTGACGGCCAACGCCATGAACACTGCCCGCTGGTTGGCATCCTGGACCCAAGTCATCAAAGACCTTTGTGGGGCCACGCGTCCCACGTGTCCCAAGGCTGGGGAGGGTGCAATATGCCGGATACATAGGGAAAATGGAAACTAAAATGGAAACTACAAAAGCATATAGGGGTGATATTTTGACAGCCAGATTTGAGGTTTGAGGGTCTTCGGCTGTTACAAGCCTCACCCCAAGCAGCTGTCACTCAGCTGTTCCAAGGTTCCTCTTGATGATGTGACCAAAGCTGGGGCGCGAAGCGACGAGGTTGACAAGGGTCTTGAGGGGGCTAAAAAAAGGAAAGATATGAGAGCTTCTGGTTTACGGTTTGGGGTTGTGGGATGCCAGGAGCATGGCAACTTGTTGGCCAGTCTCCATGCAGCCGGGCTGTCTCAGGAACATCAGGCTGCTGGGGTGAGCATTGAGCAGCTTCTTCTTTCGACTTAAGCCCAGCGACAAACCACAGTGTTGCTTCGCGTATACAACCTTTGCTTAGCTGGTATGTCATGCATGTCTGCCCAAGAATGGCCAAGGAAACTATTGGCGGTAGATTCAACTCTTTGGACGAGATGCGAAGTGCCTATGAGCAGTGCACGGATGTCAAAAGAAGGCAAGCTGCCTGCCCGTAAAATAGAGTAAAACCATTCATTACTCTGCGAGTTTTGGCTTGGGGGTTGCGGGGTTCGAGGCAGCTGCTCTTGGCTCCGTTGCTTCTCGTATCCATGGACGTGGACTCGCAGGGAGATGCCGCCCGAAGCGCAGTCGCAGCCGGCGCAGCCGAAGTTTCCCACCAGGTGTTTCAGATGGTACAAAGCTGCAGTGAAGCTGAAGCTCCCAGTGGCGTGCCAGAGGTTCCGATGGTGAACAAAGACAGGGTTTCTGAGATGTGAGAGACTAGGAATTCCCCGGCTTTCAGCCCTCAACCTGCCAAATTACGGCTTATGAACAGGTACGACTCTCCCTGATGGCCACCACCAAGATTTGCAAAGATTCTTGCTTCAGCTCGGAGGTTGTCTGTTCCAGGAAGAATTATTTTCATGTATACATGTAGTCTTCGTGACCCAAAGTTCTGTACAGGACATGGAAATACTGTTGTTCCGGTTGTTCAGTACACGATACAGAGTGCTCTCCACTTCGATCTAAGGACATCAAATCCATTCCGCAAGCCAGCAGCTGCAAGGTTGAGGAATGTCCCCCCGCAGCAAAAGATGTGGAGGAAGTACGACTGCAATTGCTGGGAAGTGGAGCTTCGACCTCTCTCAAGTCAGCAAAGCTTTACATTTACATCCTGCATGGATCTCAGCTTCTGCGGTTTCTTTTGCGTTCTGTGCAGGAGGACGGGCAAGGCCAAAATTCCAGGTTTCTAAGCTAAGCTGTACAAGATTCAGCAGAAGTCTATGGTCAGAGTGCTTATGTCTTGATTCACTCCATATTGGCTCCAAATAAAGAATGCTTGCAAGGCCACATCATGCCAGGTTCAAGCCTATCTCCCCTCCACTCATCAAGAAGCCCTGTGTCAGGTGGGTAACATGGAGGTAGCCAAGGTTGCAAAAGCATGTGCAGAAGCTCTCGTGCAGAGCCTGCCACTGCAGTCTCCGGGCGGGATGAGGCGAGTATGGTCTTCAGGTGTAGGGCAAACGGGATTTAAGAATTAAGGCTAGGGGTGTAATATTCAGGGAATGACTTGAGGGCCAAATCGACCTTGCTTTTGCACATTGATTCTGACCTGGCGAAAGACCGATGCCCAGTCTTGTACACCTCCAGGTTGCTTCTCTTCGAAGGCATCGACGTTGCTGCAAAGCAGGTGGGCCATTCGCAGCAGTGGTGTATGTATTTCTCCAAGCTCTCTCCAGAACATCGCCCTTGAAAGGCACCAAAATCAATGACCCTTAAGTGACAGCTCTGGGAGCTGCCGGGCACAATTTTGCTATTCTCGCATGGCTTGGCTGGCGCCAGCAGGTTGCCGCAGACAAGTTGAAGACAGGGTGAAGGGAAGGTGTGGTTGGTTAGGTGGGTTTAAGCTATTTCAAGATTTGTGCTAGATGTAGCAGGCCCCCACATAATCCCAATGGATGCCCTGAGCCTCGAGAGTTGGCCACGTAATCTCCCTGGGAGCTCATGGTCTGGAAGGTCTGCGGCAAAGGCCAGAACGAGCCTGGCTTCGAAGTGGCCAAAGATACTGCGAAGCTTTTCCCAGCGGTTGTGGCGGTGCTGGCGCTGAGGATTGTCAGATCAAAGAAACATATATATGTATTCCCCCTAATTGCCCAGGTTTAGATGAGTAGAGGTGTGTTCGGCCGTTGGAGTTGTGTGATGTTTTGGCGCAGCGTTATTGGCAAGACGCAACTGAGCGACAGTGAATTTCATTTACAGTGGTTGGAATTGTCATGACAGTAGGACTCCCTTTTGATGGTAGCAGCAGCTCCGTGAAATTGATTGAAAGCCCGCAGAGGCGAGAGTCCAGCATAATGTCAGATACCCAGACCACTACAGAGTTCCAAAGTTGGACCCACAATCCCCCACAGAAATGGGATACACGATTGCGGAATCGAGGGTAGTCTTGGACAGCGACCAAAAAGGAACCGCAAGGCTTGCAGACGACCGTCCTGAAAAAAAGCAGGAATCCAAAGTCCAGAATAGCGCAGTGGACTTGTAGGTGTTTGCTTGATCCTCTGGTTTCCTGTATTTGTCAGGGAGCACTCAGTGTATGTGTGTAACTTGAGTTGGCCCAGAATGGAGGTATCGCATCAATGCCATTCCATGGCGCAATCGGGCCAAACTCATGGACTTCTTGGTCGCTGTGTTCAAGGTGCCTGGATGATTATCGAATCAGATTTCATTGCTTTTTCAGTTTTGAATCAAGCCACAAACCTGATAGGAGCCACGAACCGAATTCAAACACATGACACGTACGTTTGCGGAACTCATGCTCGGGACCTTCAACTGATGAAGGACTCTCCTCTCTCATCTCTCCTAATCTCCTTTCCACTCCTCTCCGCTCAGATCGTTTCGTTTCCACTTCATTCCTCTCCAATCCAACCCACTCCTCTCAACTCTGTTCCACTCCTCTCCTCTCCTTGTCCGCTTCTCTCCACTCCTCTCTCTCTTTCTCTCTTTCTCTCTCTCCAGTCTCCCCTCGACTCCCCGCCATTCCTCTCCACCTTGCCACCCTCCACTGACCTCTCTTCTCTCTCTCCTTTCTCGCTACTCCTTCATAAACCTCAAGGCCCAAATTTGGAGGCTTCGCCCTGACAGAAGCGGGACTTTAACAACAGCAATCATCGCATTGGGAGAGAGGGGCCCCATTCCTGTGACTGTTGACACTCTTGACATCCAAGGGTCCAAAAGTGACAACAGTTAAAAGAATTGCGATGCAACACTCCTGCGACAATCTCGCGACTCTCGCGAACGGTTACGAGGATCGCAATTTCCAGGGACCCATTCCTGTGACGCTTCTTGGCACTATTGGCACGCGTCAAGACGCCAACAACGACAACAGCTACGAGGCTCGCAGTTTCAAAGGCCCCCTCCCATCCCTGTGACTGTTGGCACTTCTGACACGCGACAAGACGGCAAGGCTCCAAGAGCGACCACAGTTAGGAGTATCTTGACCGCTTGGGCCCTATCCCTGTAAATGTTGAGACTTTGGGCGACAAGAAACGAGGCTCCAAAAGCAACAACAGTTACGAGGATGGCAACTCCCGACCCTTCCCTGTGACTAATTACAGGGATCGTGATGCGACACTCGCGTGACACACTCGCGATGGTCGCAAACGCTTGTGAATGCTTTGCGGACACAAATCAACGACGTTTTGTCAACTCCTGGACCCCTGGATCCCAATCTTCAAAACGGAATCCCTTCCGAGAAAGGAACCTATCAGGATTGTTTTTGTATGACCCAGGAGTTCTCGGAGACGCAACTCCTGGACCAGTGAAGACCGCTGGTTGTCACGTGATTTGCTTTGGGTGCGATCCTACTCGTCTTGCTGAGGTGTTAGATTGTCATAGGCTGACCCTAGTTGGTTTTACTGGTTGGAACCCACAGTGGCACGGTCCGATACATGAAGAAAAGTGCTGCAATTGCAATTGAAGGATAAGTAGCCCTGAAGAACTTCAACGTATGCATGTGCCCTAGCACTCGGAGACGTGTCTGTACTGGATGTTTGGATGCTCGAGCGTTGGCATTTGGAGCTTTCGTGCAAGATGAAGGTTCTCCAAGTGTCAGATGAAGAGGCGTCAGCAACGCGCAAAAATGGAGCGATGCTCTTGCTGTGATTTTTGTTACCCACCTTTGCCTCTTGTATCACTTCTTGACGCGGGCTCGTAGACCCTGCGTTTTTTGATGGTAACTTGCTGCAGGAATTACGAGAAGTGCTGAAAACCTGGGTTCCGGGCACATGTGAGAGGTTGACGCCAAATCTGAAGCAGCCAAAAACCCTGAGACGGGCGGGCTTTTTTCAGGAAACGGTGGTGCCGCTGCGGCGAAACTGCCCATCCGGAAGGGCAGATTTTGCAAACTTTGTTTGACACGTAAAATGTCAAACTCAGGAAGCAGAATTGCAGTGCCTCCACACGAACTGGAAACACTTGTGCAAAAGAGCCGGGTTGACCTGACCTCGCACTCTGCTCTTCAATCCATGGCCTAGGAAACGTTTCATCCACATCCAAGCACCGTCCAAGGTTTGGGTTCCATACACG